GACTCAAGTACTGTTCAGATAACCTAATCAGAATTAACCTTTTAAAAAGTAATCAATGACACGGTTTGGTGCAGATTGGTGCAGACCAGCAGCTTTTCGGACACGTTTCTTAGTATCCAACCATTTTTACTCTCCATGTTTTCACTGCTGCCATGTGAGTTTTCTCTCCCATTGCCGGTATTCCTGACAGGCCAATCTTGTTTTCTTTTTCCTTCCCTGTCCTCTCATCTTCCAGCTGGTTGAGCCAGGGGCTCACGTTTCATCACAGTTTTTCTAATCTTCCTTTATCTGCCACTTATGGCTTAGTTAAAAGCCATAAGTGAGGAAATAAAGTTGTTGAACTGAAATGATATTAATTTTTTGTAACATCAAGGCTTGTCATGTGTATACGTATATAGGATCTCTAACATTCATGATGCACAGTGGTTTCATGTAGGTTGGAGGGGTGACACATTTAAAGTGACCTACTATGTCAGAACAGAGATAAGTTTTCCCTTTTGTCATCATCCCGTTTATTTATGATCACCTGACCATCTCAGCATCTCAGGCTGGAAGTTAAATGCTCTATACACAGTCTATGTGCCCAGACATAGACTGTGATGAGAAACAAAGTCACTGCCATCTATCAGTAAGGCTTTAGGATTATAGTGAACCACAGGCCTGAAATCTTGGTGTAGTGATGGACTCAGACCTGAACCTCCAGAGGCACATAAATACAATTAAAGTCAGCCTTGTATCACCTGAAGAACATTTCAAGGATTAAAGGACTAATGTCCCAGCAGGATCTTGAGAAACTCATCCCTGCATTTACCTCGAGTCGAAATAATTACAGCAACAGTGTTTTCACCAGTCTGCTTAAAACGTCGATCAGACAGCTGCAACTGATCCAGAATGAGCACATCAACCATGCTCTAAAGCCCTTAAACTGGCTCCCTATATCTCAGAGAATAGACTTTAAAATTATTCTGTTAACGATTTGTCATTGTTGTATCAACTTTTCAGACCACTCAGGTCTTCTGGTTTAATTCTGCATCTTCAGAATCAGAACCACACATGGAGAAGCTGCGTTCAATTCCCATGCTCCACTAATCTGAAACAAAGTTCCAGAAAACTACAAAAATAACGAAGTCCTGAGTTCCTTTAAATAAAGGTTAAAAACCCATTTGGTTAGAGTTGCCTTTGACTGTTCAATTTGAACAGTAAACTGAAACATCATTAATTTCAGTCTGTACTCCAATTTGTCTTTTCCTCCCTTCATCATGTCATTGCAGCATATTTTTTATGTATTTTCTCCTCATGTTTTCATTAAGTACAGCATCTTGAATGGCCTTGTTGCTGAAATGTGCTGTACAAGTAAACCATGCCTTGCTTTGCCACAGTGAGAACCATTATCCACAAAAGGAGAAAACATGGAACATTGGGGAACCTTCCCAGAAGTGGCCTGTCTACCAAAATTTTTCCAAAAGCACATTGACTCATTCCTGAAGTGACACGAGAACCCAGAAGATCTAAAGCACCGCAGTCTTATTTTGCCTCAGGTAAGGTTAGTGTTCATAATTGAACAATAAGAAAGAGACTGTGCAAAAATGCCATGCACTGAAGTGTTCCAAGGCCCAAACCATAACAAAAACATGAAGGCTTACCCTCAGATTTGAAATAAACATCTTCAAGACATTCTGGAAAATATTCTGTGGACTGAGAAGATAAAAGGTTTTTTTGGAAAGTTTAAGTTTTATTACATCTGATGTAAAAACACATTCAGATAAAGAATGTCACATCATACTGTTGAACTTGGTGGTGGTAGGCTGATATTCCTGAGCTATTATGCTGCTTCAGGACTTGGATTACTTTTCATAATTGATGGAAAACTGGTCTGTACCAGAAAATTCTGAGGGAGAAATTCTAAAGCGCACTTGGGTTTTGCAGTAAGACAATAATGAAAAACACACAAGCAAGTCTACCTCTGTATAGCTCAGAAAAAAAAAAAACAACAGAAAGACTGTAAAGTGGACCAATCAAAGTCTGGACCTATGATTGATATACAGATTATGGTTATGGTTTTGGCCTTGGAACACGTTAAACAGGCCATCAATGGGTGAAAGTTTAGTTTGGCTAAATTCAATCAGTTCTGTACAGGAGAGTCTTCCAATACTGACTTATTGTCAGCCATCCCGAACACTCTATGGTAGTTGTTGCCATAAGGCTGGCACAACCAGTTATTCAGTTATTTTTGTTAATAGAAATATATATGTGTGGCAAAATGCAATAATAGAAGAAATGTGTGACACATTTTCACGGCACTGTAGCATTCTCTCGAACTGCTATGAGATTTATGATTTTGCATCTGTTTTGGGATGGTAGAAAAATACTTTTGTCTTCACCCTGCTTGGAATGGCTGTTAATGCAAAAACTAGCCTTTGTTCCCTCAAAACAAAGATACTGAAATCATGAAATGCAAAACTACAGATAAAATATTGATTGCTTAAAACCTCCAAACAAACCCAAGTTTAAAAAATCAGAACAAACATTTTAACGAGCTGTTGAAGCCACACCTTTGTGAGTTTCCCATGTAAAACATTAAGAGGTATAAAACAGAAACAGCCAACTAAATGTGATTCTGTGACACTCCATTCTTTATATTTGGGGAAGTTAGTTTAGGTCGGTTTAAAACCCTGATCTTTATATATATTTTTAACAGCAGTAAATTAAAAATTTCAGTTGTATTTGACTGGTGTATTGTATCCAGATGATGAACCTGTAATATAAATGTTATTGAGAAAAAATATTATATTTCACTGACAATTATTTTTGGAAAATAAAGGGAAGGTAAATACTTTACAAAGGAATGTTAACATTGCAGGTGTGCTCTAAAATACAAATGTATGCACTCACAATTATTTAGAACATATTTTACTGTGTTACTGCTCACTTCTTTCCCTTGATAGCACAAGGGATTCTTCAAAATAGCACAGTCATGTCAAGCGGATCTGCCAGCATTGGTCTTTTCGACATACCTCCTCGACGGCCTGCCCTCATGTGTGATGTTGTTTGTCACAGTGTTGGTTGAGTATGTGTTTTCATGCATGCCATACCTGGATCAGGTTTGGTTGAATGTGTGTCAATTTCCCTAACACACCTCACACAGAGAGGCGAAAGACTACAGCAGAGCTGACAGTGCTTGACTAAATCCACCCCCATGATCCTGCCTGACTAAAGCTGACTGCTCCAATGAGGCAGGGAGACGAGACAAAGCACATGTGGCCAAGGGACCATGGAGTGTTGGAAGAGGGCAGGCTGGATGTGTCAATCTTTGCTTCCAAAGGACAAGGAGCCGCTGCATTGTGGCTAAAGGAAGGGAAACTCTGCATTGAAAGGGTCAATTGTGGGACACTGACAAACCAGAACAATTGTTCACTAATTTGGTTGTCTGGGTGTTTTGTTTCTTTAGAGAGATGGGAAGCTCCGTGATAGGCTTGATGGATGTCTGTGCTTCTGCCCTCTAACATCTATGGACGATTACCCTTTGTGCCATGGCTGTTTGGAGTTCTGCAGGAAATTGTTGAAAAGGGGTTTTTATTCTGCCTCAAATGCACAAAAGACGTTTTCCCACCACTTGAGGTCTGTTTCAACGTTGCTGTTTCTTGGCACTATCGTATATTCTTTGCTCCAAATATGATTACCGCAACCAGGGCAAGCATTTCCAAACTCCTTCATCTTGGCATCACACAAACAAGTGATGATGTTTGAGGTCAGAATTTGGGCAGCCCTATTATGAACTAATCAATCGTCTAATTCAACTTCTTGTTGAAATTGGCTAATTATCCAAGAGCACAGAGAAAAAATCTATTTCACTGATGACTCTGATTGGGCCAGCCAGTCCCCGACTGATTATAAAAAAGGCCTTGATTATGTTTCTTCTGTTGTCACAGGAGGAACAGTGAAATTGTTGGCTCATTTTCACTTTCCAAAATACTAACTTTCATTTAAATCTGATTGTAAGCTGGTGAAACATCAGCTACAGAAATGGTGAACTATAGAGTAAAGAATTGTCATTTTTAATGATAACATGTCCAACGATCAAAATAATCATTCGAAAATGAAATTATTGTTAAAACTGTATTTGTTGACCATGTCATTACAAACTCCATTTTTTTGCTCTATTTTGGACTTTATAGCTGAACAGGAAAGACTATTTAAGATGTTTTGGTCTTCATTATCTTTACTTTCTTAATCACCACTTTCAAAAACACAAAAAAATAATCTCAGCGCCTGTTGCACAATAGTTGTTGCCAGTAATCAGAAGTAAGGCAGCTACCCATAAAGGATAAATATACATCATGTGTTGGACTGTAATATTTACAGTAAAAAATGTCACCTTTTGTATACATCTCTCTCTTGGTTGAACTATTTTAATTTCACTGAAATTACTTTCTGTAATTTTGAAAATTATTGTTAATCCATTGTTTTTATTATTTATGGTTGACGGGGTTTAAAATGTCTTTTTAAAGCCTAGCTTTCTGAATAAAGCTGAACGGTTTTCTCCCAGCAATTTTTTTAACACAACATAAATACAATGAACAGAAACAAATAAAAATTTAAAATGTAGGTTAGTTCAGAAAAAAACATACAGTATGAGTCAAAACACATATGTTTAACCACATTTTGAACTGGGTGGTAAAAATCCTTATGCCTACCATAAATGGTACACCACTCCACTCAAGAGTCGATTTCAGTTTTACATCAGAGATGCATCACAATCCATGTTACACAGACAAGCATGCTAGGAGCATACTGACAGGCATAAACAATCTGTCCACGCCATATTAGCAGGAAAAAGCTGTGCTGTCATTCTGTGCTCTTAGCTCCGCTGACTAATAGCTATTACCCAGTAAATTAGTTTAAAATTGCTTCATTTCAGAATTTCTGGGCCCTACTGTCCTTTTTTGAAAAGTAATTTGCCAGGAAAGAGGGTGTAGAAAGAAGAGAAAGACATGGAGCAATGTCCCAAGACCAGGAATTGAACCCAGAACAACCACGTCGAGGGCTTTAGCCTCTGCACACGGTGCGTCTGCTCTACCAACTGAGCCACTCTGCACAGTCCTAACGTAACAAATGACTTCCTTTGTTTATCATTCATCACACCCGTCGACAAAAACACTTCTCATCTAACATAATAACCAAAATTACTACAAGTGATCCAGTTTACCAATCTGGGTCGTATGGGCTGTTGGCTTCTTAGCTTAATCTTCCAGTTGTTGTGGTGCGCATATGTATCGCTGCACCACCTAACATGTCCAGAAAGCTGGTTTGACATTTTCTTGATTGCTCTTAGTTTGTCTCCCAAAGAATTCTTGCGGTATTCTGGTTGTAGTTCTCCTTCCTTCTAACTTTATTGTAGAAAGTCAATATGTTATCATGTTCACAGTTTGCCATCTTCTTCATACTCTGCAGCCACCCGTCTGCAAACTTAGGCATCTGTTCAGCTATTTCTGTTTCCGTATCAATTTTTTTTTTCAAAACCCGTTCTCCTTTTTAACTAATGTCAAATTCTTACTATTAGGCCAACAACAATACACAAAAACTTGAAAAAAGTGTATAGTGGTGATTTAAATGTCAGATATTGTTCGGAGTTTTACCCTAGAGAGAGAGCTTATAGAAAGTCATGGGTATTGGGTATTCTGCTATTATTTGTAGAAATAGGGTCTGTCAAATCAGTCAGAAAAAAAACTTCAGGCTTTATATTTTAAACTTTCATGAATAAAGCATAGTATATAATATATTTCTTCTGCACTTTGCTGTTCAGATTCTGTATATCACAGCTTTTTATGATAAAAATAATTGTACAGAGGACACCAATGCTAACTTTGTAATCTGGTTTCTTGAGAACAGCACTGGTATATTTTTATGTACAAATTGTCTCTGGTTAAACTCTATGGAATAGTTTATAGAGTATACAAAATCTTAAGACTTTTCACTTTTAAAGAGCTTTTAAAGCTCTTTTTAAGTCTTCTGTAACTGTAAAAGACAAAATCTGGACCTTGCACTTGCATCTGCATTATTTTGACTCTAACTAAACCTTTTTTGTTTGTCTCTTTATATATTTTAATGCTAAGGTCAAACATTTTGCTTATACTTACTAACTTTTAACTTGAAATGCTGTATTAGATTATATCTGTTCTGGATGAGAATCAGTGCCTCCAAGTCCGAGGCCATGGTCTTGAGCCGGAAAATAATAATCATCTTTATTGGTCATTGCACATGTACATTACAACGAAATTTGTCCTCTGCATTTAACCCATCCCTTAGGGAGCAGTGGGCTGCCATTGTGCGGCGCCCGGGGAGCATTCTGGGGCTAAGGGTCTTGCTCAGGGAACCCAGAGTGGCAATCTGTGGGATATGAACTTGGCCCCTTATGTCCTCTCTGGAACACAAACCTCCTGCTCTAAGCACTAGGCCACCACTCCCCCAAGGCTAGAGTGCCTACTCTGGGGCGCGGGGGAGGTCCTGCCTCAAGTGGAGGAGTTCAAGTATCTTGGAGTCTTGTTCACGAATTAGGGAAAAATGGAGCGGGAGATCGATAGACAGATTGGTGCTGGGTCAGCAGTGATGCGGGCGCTGTACCGGTCTGTCGTGATGAAGAGAGAGCTGAGTCAAAAAGCGAAGCTCTTGATTTACCGGTCAATCTACCTTCCTACCCTCATCTATGGTCATGAGCTTTGGGTCATGATTGAAAGTACGAGAACATGGATGCAAGCGGCCAAAATGAGTTTCCTCCGCAGGGTGTCTGGGCTCTCCCTTAGAGATAGGGTGAGAAGCTTGGTCATCCAAGAGGGACTCAGAGTAGAGCCGCTATTTCTCCACATCGAGAGGAGCCAGTTGAGGTGGCTCAGGCATCTGGACGCCTCCCTGGTGAGTTGTTTCGGGCACGTTCCACCGCGAGGAGGCCAAGAGAAAACCCAGGACATGCTGGAGGGACTATGTTTCTCGGCTGGCCTGGGAACGCCTTGGGATTCCCCCAGACGAGCTGGCCCAAGTGGCTGGGGAGAGGGAAGTCTGGGTCTCTCTGCTTAGGCTGCCCCCGCGACCCGACCCCGGATAAGCGGAAGACAATGGATGGATGTTCTGTATCATAAAAGGGCCCATTTTAAGAATGTTTTTTTTTTCTCTTAGTGAGATTACCTATAGCTGAAAGCAGATATATAGTTGCACTGTATAAAAATACACAAACACTTTTTTATCACTGTTTGATTTTTATTCAAACTAAAGTTTTGATGTTTTAGGTGAATAAGGATTATCAAGATTACTACTATTTGCTGCATGCCAGAAAAATAAAATCAATAATTTTAGAGAATTTTATGCTCTTTAAATTAAGAATATAACACACATTTTCTTTTAGGAATAGTTTTCAGGACTACCAAAACAATTTGTTTTTACTAAATGTCATTTCATCAGAAATGTTTTAGGTGATATTTTTAATAATTTTTAGAAATTTCCTGAAATTTAGGTTTACATACACTGCCTACTTATACTACACTATTTATACTATTTCTCAAATAGGAAATGTATGTAAACCTCTGAATTTAAAGAAAGTTTAAGAAAATTGTCCAAAATAATTATTTCTCATTAGAAAATGGTAATAATCCTAACTGACCTAAAACATGAAAATGTATTCTAATTTAATGTCAGACAGTGCAGAAATAATGCCTATATGTCTTTTTATTCAGTGTACGTAAGCATCTGCTTACAACTGTACAAGGCTATTACTATTACCACTACATCTACCACTGCTACTAAAATCACAAGAACTAATACAACAACTAATAACAAATAGTTTATATTAACAGTGATGCTGCAGGATACAATAGTGATTCTGCCTGCTCGAATGTTAGTGCACTAAATTCAGCATGTAACAATACTTTTTGCATAATTTTAACCAAAGCATTATAATAATGATAAACGTGATGAATTTGCAGACTATGATCATGACACAAAATTTTATTACCACTCCATCCCTAAAGTGAACATTACTGATGAGGACAATGTTAGACTGTTGGGTTTATGGAGCGAATCAAGATAGAAAATCTGCAATTCAAAATAGGAAGTGCATTAAAATATCTCCCTTGTCTTCATATTTTATTAGAATTCATGAGCTAGAGTCAAATAAATAGAGAAAATGAAGCAACGAGATGACAAACTGTGTCATCAAATCTTCTCACACAAAATGCTGAACTGAAGGTTGTCAGCACTATTTAGATGGTTACTAATAAAAAGATTGACTTAATGTATTAATCAGTTTTTAAAGATTATCAGTTTTTTCAAGTCTCTGTTTATTATCAAACAAAAGTTTTCTACGGCTTTTGGGGTTCATATGATGTTGTCCTTGCTTGGCTGGAACCAAATAATACAATTTGACCCCCTCCCCTTCTTACTCTCATGGTGATCATACTTCAAACTGACACAATGCAATCTCAATTTCATTAGCAGAGAAATGGAGGCACTCATATTCTGTTGCATGCTCAGTTAGCAGTGGACACTGTTTTGCAGATAGACTTTGCAAATAGCACTCTAAAGTGACCCATTCAGCAGATTTCAAATGATTTTTCCCCCTTTCTTCTTTCAGCCTCTGTTGTGCTCTTTGTGTGTTTGTGATAAATCAAGTAAATCTACAGGCTACGCATCAATCTGTGTCATCTGTCAGCAGGAAATTGATAGTTATTCAGTCCGTCTTTTGGGGTTTTTATATTCTGGTTCCCCCGAAGACTGCTACCATGGGAGAACGGGCAAGCAAGACTGAATAAAAAAAAAAAAACAGATCTTTGTCTCCGTTAGGAAATTCACCTGTGACATTAACATCTGAAATGTGAAACATGACTGCCTGAAAATACCCTTTAAATGTATTGCAGCTTTGCCACCGAGGCTGGGTTGATAAGAAATGTACATTGAGTAAAATCAATACTAACCGCTGCAATCTGTCTTAAATGAGGGAGAGGAGATTTATATAGCAATTCAGTAAAAATAGGTAAAAACCAACCGGGCAGATAATAACCAGTCGACTCAGGCCCAGAATCTCTTTAGCATGGTCGTTTGCTTCTGTCTTCTTTAGTCTTTGCCGTTCCGTTCAGGTTACGCCAACTCCCTACAGTGTGCCACTCCCTTCCTTCCCCGCCATATTGCTAATTTCCCCTCTCCAATTACAGGGGAAATGAACAACTCTCTTAATTTCCAATGATGATAATGATTCTCCTCTGTGGAAGGCTGTGCAGTAATTCAAGTCCTCTCCTCTTATTCCCTCCATCCCATCTTTAATCCAACTGTCAAAATATGCCTTGGAGCACATGTCAAATATGTAGATGGAACTGCCACAAACAGTGAATGGCACATAGACAAAGGCTGGTCACAAAAGACTCGCACAGAAAAACACACCAATAGATTCTGTAATACAGACGGTAATGTATTTTATTGGGAATTTATATGGTGAACTGACTTTGAAATCTATAGAAAATGAACCATGGTTTTTAAAATTTTTAACAAATAAAAACATAAAAAGAGTACTTCGGTTTTTATTTTTGCTGCACTTATAGATGCAGATCTTTCTAGGTATGTTTCTGCTTTGCACATCTAGGCATCTAAATGTTTTAACCGAAAGTTTTTTTTCCACTTCAAACGAGATTTCTTCCATGTTTACCTGGTATTTACCTTAATCCTTCTTCCTATCAGCTCTGACTAGTTTCCCTGCACCTGAAAAAAAAAACATCCTCACAGTATGATGCCACCTCCAACATGTGCAACTGTGGAGATAGTGTTTTCAGGGTGCTCTACATTGTTAGTTTTCCTCCACATGGCGTTATACATGTGAGCCAAAAATGTTTAATTTTGGTCTCCTTCCACATAGTTATTGTGTTTCCTACATGATGTTTTGCCAACAAAGAGGTATCCTTATGGATTTCTGTCAAGCACATGAAAGCTGAACTTGGTCTTGATTTGCTCTGTTGAGTTCCAAAAAGCTCTAACTACAGTTGTTCTCGGTTTTGACCTGGAAATTCTTAAATCATGCAGTAAACAGATTTAAGCCCTCTAGCTCTCTGCTTTGATTTTC